CTTACCCACGAAAGCTTATGCTCCCAATACTTCTGTTAGTCTTAAAGGTGCCACAGGACCCTCTGTTGCTTTATAATAGAATATATAGTCTTTTCAATAAGGTGAATGAATGTGCTATAGGCAAAACTGGTAGCCTACAGTTAAGGTAGCCAGACACTTTCCATTATAAGACCTTGTTTTCAGTTCCAACTGAAGAAGGGAGAGCTAGATTAGATGAGAAGCCATTTGGGAGGGTGGGGAACCAAGACTGGGAGCAAGCAGGAGAGAGAGGCCAGAGTGTAAGACTAAGAACATCTGGGCAAGGAGACAGACTGAGATTAAAAGCTTGAGGAGTGGAGAATGGGGCTAGGATAAACAGGTTGGAGGTACAGAATGGGTCAAGGTTAGGGGAAAAACAGACAGATCCTAGTAAAAAATAGTTACCTACCTCTCGTAACTTGTTCTTCGAATTGTGTTGCTCATGTCCATTCCAATAGGGGTGTGTGTGCACCGCGTGCATGATCGTCGGGTCAGCTGTGGAGACCCCTGGAGTGGCACCTTCATGGCGGTGTATATAGCTTCCTGCCAACCCACCGCCTGCTCAGTTCCTTGTTACCACCAGTGACAGTCATTGGAGCAGCTCAGTCTCTTGCATTCACAAGTGGCTACCTAGTGGTTCCCTTTTCTTATTTATAGTTTAACTGAGTTGTAGTCACAGTAGTTATATAGTAGTTTATAGTTAGTTAAGCTTACTTTGCGGGGCTCCCCCCCACAGTTTTCCCCAGGCACCGTGGCATGCCTTGGTCACAGGCGTTTAAGGCGTGTGAGAGGTATGCGAAACCTATGCCCAGAGGCGATCCGCATGCTGCTTGTCTTAAGTGCCTAGGAGGAAATCATCAGACAAGTGCCCAATTTGCAGGCGCTTTAGACCCAGGACTAAAAGAGAGCAGGACTATCGTTTAAAGCTCCTCCTGATGGAGTCAGCCCTCAGCCGGTACTGGAAACGGCACTAGCATCATCGGTGCAGGATGCCCCGACACCGAGGAAGCACTCCTCCAAGGAGCATCGGCACCACTCCCCGGCTCGTATGGCCAGCTCTAGTAGGTGGCACCGCTCACAGTCCCCAGTGCT